ACGATGAAGCTCATCGTATATGATATGAATCATAGGTCTGGAGGCCTGTAATGCTCCAGTAAAGGCTGTAAAGTTTCTTGCACTAGAGCCACGATATTTGGCGGGAATATAAAAAATATTATTCCAGGCCATTCAACAAACATACCCAGTTGATAAATTATTATTGATAATGTTATGGAATTTAATAAGCACATGGTAAAAATTTACGCAGAGTAGATTTTCGGAATTTTCGAATGATGTCAAAAATATACGGTAATTTCGGACCTTTACCGAAATATCGGAGTTTTCCAAAAATTTTGGACCCGGTTCGACCCCTGGGCTCACATATCCTCATTTTCCTGATAAGTTTGTGGTAACCTTCCTGTATTCCACAATTTCTAAAATTGTGTGAACACTTATACTATTTTTACTTTCTATGGAAACTGATTGTTTTCAAAAACAATATAATTAAAAAAAAATATTGGATTATATCAAGATACTTAGCAGAAGTTAATCTTACAGATGTTCCTCGTTCATCCAGTAGCAGGACCACACTGAAATGAATCAAGTAGATCACCTATAAACCGGTTTCGAGGTATTAAGAAAGATCCTACCCAAACAACAATGTGCCTGGGGCTCGATTAATTTTAACAAGACTTGACTGCATATATGAAACCATCTGGGAGAAAAACTGTTAACTAGTAACAGCTCCATCTCGTGAACAAAGCCCCAAACGGAGAAGAAACATCCCATGTTGCAATACTTTTGTTAGAAATCAAAATCATAAAAAATGGAACGGGGAGAGATACATACATAGAAAAAAATAAATATTTCGAAACGTCACCTCTCCCAACTACCTAAACCATAGGTTCTGGTATTTACCGGAAAAAACTACTTCCCCGACAGATACCACGTTGGATATTGAATTATATCCGACAGACGTTTATGCCAGATACCTCACAGAGGTTAGTCTTAAGACTTGCTTGAAAAAGTTGAAATACATTATTTCAGGCATCCAAATTTATAACCAATATAAAGATGACAGTCGATACGGAAGAATCATGGAATCACAAAACATATTTGGAATCACAGAACATTTGTGACAGTCATTTTATTTACAAAAATTTTGCGGAATTCGATCAAGCATGGATGCGTCTTTTGTGGAGTTCACATAGAGCATATCATTGAATGATGTGGTGCTAGAGCTTTTCAATACTAGAGTATGTCTTACTCTGATTTAAGTTTATAAACGCAAGCAAGACGAAATCATCATATTGGGGTAATTGCGAAAAGAGTTGGATTTTACAAGTCCAAGACATTATCATATGATTTCAAATAGTCATATGTATTCCAAACTTGCGTGAAATGTTTCTCATATGTATTTTTTGATATCTCAAATAAATGTTGAAAGTGGCATGTTCATATTTTTGTTGTTACCTAAAATCTACTACCATGATCTCAAGCATTGAAAGCATTTTTACTACCTCTTAAAAATACCCATCAATTCCTCTTCATTTTTACTAATAGTATCCTTTTTGTGCTTTTCTGCATTGCTCTATTAAATAATTTGAGTTTATCTATCAATTTTTTTGTTAGATTTGCATGACCTTTGAGAAATCAGCGTATATACACTGAGACTTACATTTTTAAACTCAACTGCCGATTCAAAAAATTCTTGAATTCCTAAATGATCCATTAACAGCAGTGGATACATGATGAAGTCCAGAAGAATAAATACATCTAGCTCACAGAAATTTGTAAGGAGCAGAATTGTTTTTTCATCATTAACTACTATATCGAGGAGAGATACATACGTACAAGAAAATAAATATTTTGAAATAAAATTTTCAAACATTTATCTCTCCCAACTACCTACACAGTAGGTTCTAGTAAATGCCTGCTGGAGTAACGAGAAACATCCTCAGGACTTACCTCTATGAGGTATCTTGCATAAATTTAATATCCAGCGTGATATTAGCAAGGGAAGTAGTTGTTTTCCGGCAGGCATTTCCCAGAACCCACTTTGTAGGTTAGTATTTGTACGTATGTATCTCTCCTCAATACAGTCCTCAGACACGTTATTATTTGTTAGAGAATTGATATACGGGATGTTTCTTCCCCGCTGAGGGGATGAGGCATGAGATGAAGTTGTTACCAGTTAACAATCTTTCTCTTAGACGAAGGTTTCATATATGCAGCGGAGCCGCGTTGTAATTATCGAGTCTCAGACACTTTGCTGTCTGGGTCGGATCTGCCCTGCACAGATGAGAGATAATACCTCGAAACCGGTCTGTAGGTGATCTGCTCGAATTATTCCAGCATGATCCTGCTGCTGAGGAACGAGAAACATCTGCGAGACCAACCTATACGAGGTATCTTGCATATATGTCTGTCAGATCTAGGTAATTCAATATCCAGCGAGGTATTATCCGGGAAAGTAGTTGTTTTCCGGCAGGCATTAACCAGAGCCTACTGTGAAGTTAGTTCGGAGAGATACATTTTTCGAATTTTTATTTTGAAATATTTATTTTCTTTTACATATGTATCTCTCCTCAATGCAGTCTTCAGACACTTTTGATCTCAGACAATGGGCTCATTTAACAATTTTTTTTATTTCATTATCTGAAAGTTTATGTTTCAAATAGTACATCTGCAAAAAATCTGAAATTTCACTCTTTATCTTCCCCCTCACATTAATAGTTGAATGTGGCCAAGCTTGACGTCACATCAGTCGACTCTGCAACAAGGGAGTGCTGGCGGCGATGGCAGCGATTCATAATCTCCAACTACAGGCCTGGTTGCCACCGCTCGAAGCTCGTTGCCTGGTGTGAAGTCAAAATGTATCGCGGGCGATCTCACATTTTCAATTGCTCTTGCTCAGTTAATTGACATAAAAACCGGAAAATGTTGTGGGATACTTGGGAGATGATTAACTTTTATAATATATAATTTTCAATAAAAATCTAAATTATAAGCGAAATACATACGTGTACTGAAGCCGTAGAGAGCAAGTTGTGTGTTGTTTACTGCAGTGTATCAACTGCGTGAATATGTAACACGTGGTGTTTTCAAACCAGTCAGCAAATGAAGCAAAATCCGACGATGGCAGCGATTCATAATCTCCAACTACAGGCCCAGTTGCCACCTCTCGAAGCTCATTGCTTGGTGTGATGCAGGATGTACTGCGGGCGATATCACATTTTCAATTGCTATTGCTCAGTTGTTAATTGACATAAAAGCCGGAAAATTTTGTAGGATACTTGGGAGATGATTCACTTTTATAATATATAAATTTCAATAAAAATCTAAATTAGCCAGAATGAGCCCATTCTAGAGAATATTCTTATTTGAAAATTCTTCTGAACATCATAGTACAGATGAGCCCAGAACATGGTAATTCAAAAAAAGCTAGCTTATGATAGTACTGACTAACTTCAGCCAAGAGAAACTACTGAAATTTTTCATGATATTGTGGTCTAACACTACCCTACATTTCCAGTCGATAAAACTATTGTGAGTAGATTCACGAATGCCAACAAATCCCCTGAAAGTTGCTCACCAGAAATCGAAGCACTACCACTCATATTTTTGAACATCCAGCAAGGGTTTCAGGCAAAAAGATTCTTCTTCACATAGGAAATTATTATATAGCACTTGGATGGTTTGACAAAGAAAATAAGAACCAACGACTGTATACGATTCCATAAGGCCTTTGCTAAAGCTAAAGTAATTCACAAGTCATAATAAAGTTGCTGCAGTAAAAATAGAGATGGCATTTACATTGTTTTTGCTGCTGAATGTTTTTCAATTCTCTATAGCAATGTATGAAATATTCAGTTGTTTGTTTTATTTCAAATTCTAATATTTAAAATATGAATTTTGATCTAATTATATCAACACAAATTATTTTAAAATAATTATTTTCGATTACCTACTCAATAAAAAATTTTTAGTTAGTAGGCATATAAGAATGAGGTATCAACGAACATTTCTTAAAAGCTAGCATCACACTGTGGTATTGGTTTTTATTTTTTACAGGTCATGTTATACTTTTGTCTTTCTTTCTAGAATCTAAGTATATTTTTTGCAGAGTAATGTTTTGGGTTCTTAAAAATAAAGTAAAACATATCTATGGTTTTACCAGTTTAATGAAGATTACTTGAAATTCAATTCAGGTGAATGCGATCTTGGTTTAATGAAGAATATGATTGTTACATTGTCAATATATTGATAATTCATATCTCTGACAGCTGCTCTATTAAAAAAGTAGTAGTTTTTTTTTCAATTCAAGTATTTCTCAGTGGTAGAGAAATATGTATGTTATTGACACTACTGATTTTTCTCCTTAATTTTCTTCTCTGTATAACCTTCATAGGTTACAGCATTAACTCAGGAAATTATTTAAAAAAATTTCTGTTCAATTCAATTTATAAATAATTATCAACTCTTCTATTTTTTTCATAACTATGCAAACAAAAACCATTCCTAAGAAATGTGTATTTATAATTGATTCACATTTTGGCTTTACTTCTAATTTTCTTCTAGTTTGCCTATTTCATCTTTAAACAGAATTTGGTTGAAATCAATCAATGAATATCCACTTTATGTCACCTAAAACACTCGTAAACGAGTGATTTTATTACGAATAATTTGAAAGAAGTAATTTAATACTTTATAAAAACAGTTTTAGTTTGATCGACTTCTGAAAGTATGTTTATTTCTAAACCTTTTACTATTCCACAATACAAGTGCCAAGACTACATATATGTTGAATAAAGCCGTTTATTACTTTTCAGACTACTTTATACTTTGAACTTAATAGTAACAATTGTTATTGTTTACTCTAAAACAGAATAACTGGTTCTGACTAAGGTTTTTAAGATAGAAAGAGGAAACATTGTATTGGCTATCCTTTGGACAATATTACTGGCTGGAAACATTTCTTGCAGTAGGCTCATCTTCTCAACTCGAAATTTAAGTACAGTTTATTCCTGATAAGACATATGGCATGGAAAACTCACCTCCCATATGCTGAGAATCTACTAAGGCAATAAGATTACTAGCCATTAGATTATTGTTCAACAACGTCTGAGTGGTATCCATTGAAACTTCTCCCAGACCATTTACTGACATACCGTTCACCATGTTAACAGCATTGCGAACTCCTTGGGCATCCAATTGGCTCCAATAACTTTCACTTGGCGATACATTGGCAACACCTGAAAAATACTTGTGATGCATTGTTTGGAACTTGTGGTGTAGTAATGAATATTACTGGAATTTTATCCTAACATCAAACCATTATTTTAACACCTCGACACGGGTTTCGATGACCAAGTGATCATCTTCAAGAGGAAGATTAAACTAAATATATGTATAATGTTATCCTTAAATTGATTGATTTCCACAATGTATCTAGTAGTCTTAAATTTATTTCATAACGTTTCATTAATGAGAGACTGGGACAACCTGTATATACATTTCGATAGTTCAATTGAAATGGCGTGCAGGCGGACAGAGGATAATTGAAGCAACGGTGCTAGGCTTCAGTAAACAAACATCAAGCTGAGAAAAGGGTCGGTGATGTTTGATAAAATAAAGAACATCTTAATTTTTTCAACCAGATCTCACGAATTCAAATCCACGCCTTGGTTGTGACGTAGATGAAATTGATGTTGATAATTTCTTTTAATGAAATTTCATTTTTTTAAAAGTACGCCACAGTGTCCTTATGTCAGGTAAATCTGATAAATAAAATATTATTTCAACAAGCTATATAGTATAGTATAGTATAGTATTAGGTATTGGTCCACTATTGTTTTTCATAATATTATTATGTTTACTTTCTTTTCTACACTCTCATAGGCATCTAGATANTAAATGGAGTCATTAACCTCTTGTTGGTCGTTCAATAGGAATTTTGAATGTTTACCCTTATTAGTTTTCAGAGACTCCAGCAGGTTAAATTGTCTTTGATTTTCTGTCTGGAATATGTCGTAAAAGTGTTGAAATCGTGATTGTTCTCTAAAAGGTGGCACGCATAGGTGGAATTGGTCTTCTTCAGTTCAAAACTTGACCTGTTATCCTTGTCATGTGTGACTTGTTGTTTATTTAGTAGTCTTTTGATTTTATCTGATGTTTTTCCAGTATTTGTGAGTGACTTGAAGGTGCCAGTAAGGTGCCACTGTTGTATATAATAATTATAGTCTAGTGCAGGGGTCTCCAAACTTTGAAGCCTTCGGACCATAATGATTTTTTCAGTTTGTTCCAAGGGCCAATTTCTGCCCTTAACTATATTTCTAGACTAGGATAGTCGCAAAGTGCGTGACCTAAGCAAACTTACGCTTTTTTTGCATTTCAATTATTATTGTGTATTGTGACACTTAA